TCTCTCTCTCTCTCTCTCTCTCTCTCTCTCTCTCTCTCTCTCTCTCTCTCTCTGTGTGTGTGTGTGTGTGCGTGTGTCTGTGGTCAACATCCAGTTGATGATAATCTGAGCAATTGTGATGTGGCAGAGATAGCTGCCAGCTTCTGCCAGCTGAGTGTAGTTCCTGGCTTTAGAGGGCATACTCACATTAGGTCCTTTCTGGACGTATCGGAGTTCAATGAGGACCACGTTCAGGCAGATGTCTGGATGTATCTGAGTTCAATTAGGACCATTTTCAGGCAGAATAGTCCTGGTTCTTCGACTCCCTCGTGCAGCAGCCCCCAGTCACAGCTAAGAGGGAGATTAGCAGATGTAATGATGCATGCAGTTTTCGGTCTGAGAAACCTGCTTTTCTCTGAGAGAGTTTCTGCTTTTGATCTGGTTGCTGAGAATTCCAAGTCTGAGCCTGTTTTGCTGTGTTTTTTGTTTTTTTCTAAGTATGTACTGTATGTGATCCACCGCTGATGTACATATGCTGTGTGCTTGCCTGCTCGCCTCCTGAGTTATGGGCCCAGTTTGAGTCCTTGAGCTAACTCTATTGGGCGCAATATGTGGCCGAGCCTTGGACAGGGGCAAGTGCGCAATTCATGTTGTTTCAAGAACTCGCTCTGACAGCAGAGCCCTTTTGAGAACTCTTTTTTTTTTTTTTTTTTTGAGATTCTACAGTTGTTGTAATTCCGGAAAACAATTTTTTGTTTTCTTTTGAGACTCTACAGTTGTTGTAATTCCGGAAAACAATAGATTCGCTTCTTGCTTCAAAAGTGTAGCCTCAAAAGTTTCGCCAAAAGTTTTGTTGACTAAATCGAACAAAACCCACAAAACTAAGAAAGCGGCAGCGTACTCTGGATCTACCCAACCCCAACATCAAACAGCATCTACAAGATTTACTTTTTTATATGTTTTTACTTATTACTTATATATATTAGTTGTGATAAATTAAGAACAGGTAGCCCAGGCCTTTCTCGGCCTTTTGGCTAAGATCAAGTGTATATCTGTTCTGATCAGTTTAATATCTGATCCGTGGTCCATCGGAACCACACACACAAAAAAAGAAAAAAGTGCAAAGCTTTCGGACCCTGGTGCAAGCTTTTTGGGAAATTGTGTACACTTTAGCATATATATTATATATTATATACCACTGGTTACTCTGATTCATAATATTGAATGGAATTTCAAGGCCAAGGTGCGAAATTCGTTCGGGCTGCAGAGACTTTTGCTCAATTGATTTTCAAAAACATGAGGCAACCGTCTGTCAGGTTGCGGTTACGATCAGGCTCACGCTAGCGTCTATAAATTCTCAATGTCGAGCTACCATTGGCATTGTTTCAAATGAGAATCAGTCTCGCGCCGCGGTTTAATAAAATATCGAGTGGCAGCATCAAGATCTGAGCCAACAAAACGAGAAACATACCATACAAAATGGAAAACTAATGGTTATTTGAGATTGCTTATATGGACGCTGCAGGGCCTTGGCAATACGCATTTCAAGATCCAGCCACTCGAATGATGCACGGAATTATTCAAAATGGAAAACGAATGGTTATTCGAACTTATTTCAGATCGGACGCGAGTGTTGACTGACTGTTATCGCCGCGAAGCGGCGGCTAGGGATAAGGGTAAATGAGATCAGGCTCGGTCGGGACGACAGAATTGCAGCAGGGCCAATGCGCCTACTGTCTTCACGGGAACGTAATTACAGGGGGCCAGATACGGCACAACTTTCAGCCCAGGTTATTATAGCTGTAATTTGGCACAACTTTCAGCCCAGATACGGCGATAATTACCGGGCGTTCTATTTGGGGTGAAGATGGTAGCGCAGGCAGTTGCTACACCCATGAACTGATGAAAAACAGGGGCCAAGTTGGAATCCAGATGCAATCAGATCAAACAGAAAACAAAATGGTTGTGAACTAGCTGGGGCTAGGTAGTCAGTTCGATTATGATATCTGAAGGCTGTCGCCCTTCTTTTAAACGAGAGGAGAAAGAAGAGGGAAAAAAAAACAGCAGGGACATAGTAGGAGAACTGGAGTGGGAGGGACGCTGGACCCGGTTTCCAGCAGGTGTTGCTCCCCACCAATAGATGGAGCGGCCCGCCAGGCAAGCCTCAATCCCGGTGGTTCTCTTACCACCACCAGGATAGAGGCCTTGCATAAGGGCCTTCTCACAAAAAAAAAAAANAAAAAAAAAAAAAAAAAAAAAAAAAGAGAACTGGAGTGGGGCGATAGTTGAACTCGCTAGAAGCCCCGTAGGGAACTTCCCAGCAAGGTGGTTGGGAGTTGTGGACGAGTCGGTAGCTGTCCGGTAGGTAGTAGTAGTATTGGTCCAGAGGGGCTGAATGTAGGCCAGCAGCAGAAGACTAGGTTCAGGGCCTGAATGTAGACCTGACCTGTTTGCAATGATGTTTCCACCAAAAGGAGGAACGCCTGATCGGCCTACTAGCTTCCCTCGAACGTAAGATATATGTGTTCAAAACGAATAGAAGGTATAGGTTGTGGTATACCCGGGTAAACCGCATATGAGTTCTGTTTTCGTTTGCAGCAGCAACTTAATGACGATAAGGAGGGAGGTCTTGGCGGTCTGGCGGAGTAGGCTCGGTTTTCGCATATTATTGGCCTGAATTTTTCCGTATATGCTATGGGGCAGTGTTTTATCCTATTATGGTCCTATGGACCTACCAGTAGGGACCGCGGCTGAAGGCGGAGCACAACGGTTCCAAGAAATCCAGGGGCAAAACCCTCTAGACCTGCAGCCGAGTGGGAATTGGGATCCCAATGCAAGCCGACACCCATGTGGTTAGCTCTCCACCAGGGTAGAGGTTCCTGCCGAGTGGGAATTGGGATCCCAATGCTGGTGGGAAGCCACCAATGGATGGTAACAAGAAAACCAAAAAATAAACAAGTCTGTGGGCCTCGCCGGACGGTGCAAAAAACGAAACGAAACGACCTTGAAACTCGCGAGGCCTCGCGAGGCTGAAAATCACCGTTTAGTTTCATTTGTTGCACCACCGCCGCATGGCACACGCGAAATCACTCGCGGATACGCCCTGCCGAGTGTTGAGGTGCCTGACTTTCGCAAATGCTAATTTTTTTTTGGACCGACATCCCTTGGACGTACGTGCTGCAGCCCTGGACCGACTTGCTGCACTCGCGAGGATTCGCAGCTCCTCGACCGGCCTCGGGAGGACCTACGACTTTTCGCGCGTTGCAGGCGGGCACGGAAGGGGGCACTTGCGGAGCCTCGTGAATTGCAAATCTGACACAATTCGCGACTTCCTTCTGACTGTTTTCGTTTCTTCACTGTGCGGCGAAAAGTTCACGAAACGAGTTAGTTTTTTTTCTTGTTTCGTGTACCGTCCGGCGAGCCCCTGTGTGATGTTCAATGAACAACAATTCGTTCATCGGAAATCCGAATACAAAGCGCACTTAGATACAATGCGTA